TTTTTCTTTTTTTTATGTCATTTGACTTACTTATTAGAAATTAAACCTTACACGCGCGCTAAGCAACCAGCTTAAGTTTAAATCGAATTAACTTGAAACCTTTGAGACTATCTACCCGCAAGATTCAAGGTGAAGTGAGACACTATTTTTATCATATCCACCACAAGACTTCCACTGCTAAATGTAGGCCTTCTACCCAATGACAGTCGCTTACATTATGAATTTTCATTTTCGTAGGCACCTAGGAAATGAAAAAGATTGTGAGGTATACTCTTTAAAACTCTACAGGTACATCATGCTTGCTGAATTAACAGGATCATAACTAATAATACAAAGTGTAAAAGTAACTAGTGACTTTTGTTTGTAAACAACCACATGAGAGCACATTGACATTATTCAGTTAACTGTCATCTGTCATTTGTTTGTAATAGTAGATACTTTGCTAACGGTGGCTCTACACTTGACGTTGCGTATTTTTTGTGTTAGGCCAAAAAAGACCATGTGTGAAGGATTTATTCATCTTTATTGCACACCATTAGGTACATAATAAAGATACTATTTGGACGCCATTTGTGCGTACCTAGTCTACAAATATTTGGACAAATGAAGCGAATACGCAATGTCAAGTGTAGTACCACCTTAACGTACCTTTTGCACATTTTCAAAGTGAAATAACTTTTGAACCCAAGTTCTAAATATATGTAATTTTTTCTAAACTTTATAATAAAAATATCTATCGTTCCTACCATTTACTTGGTTAAAATAATGACAAATACAAGATTTTATAGCGGTACGAAACTTCCATACAAAGCTGCCATTCTCCTTTGAGAAATTGAGAAAACTTTACACTTCATGTGGGGCCCTAAACAATATTTTATACGCGGCCCCGCCAAGGCACGCTACGCCATTAGAACAATGCACATAAACGCTCGACGCATTATACAAATTACAAAATTTACTAAAATAAAAAACAAAACAAAAAAAAGTCTTACAGTCTAACATGGTGCTCACATATGCATACTGACAATCCATAAAAATAGTGCTTCTATACAAGAAAAAGGAAACTCTATGCTTCAATAAAGAAACAAATGCTCGGTGCCCTAAGAAAACTAGATTGTCTACATTAGAATGATAGCCTACATAGTGAGTAAGTACTGACTACATTTTTTTGTTTCTATCTCAAATTAACGCGTATTTTTTAATTATGGTAACAATAAATTGTAATGATACTATGTTACTATGTTTACTTATACTTGCGTTTTTATTGGACATTGAAATATAATATTTTGTTGTCGTTTTCGATATGGCTTCATTAAGAAGGTGTTGTGTACTTAATCCTGATTCTTTTTGCTACATTTGTGGTGAATATATATTTGCAAAATATCGAAAAACTATATCGGACTTTGTAGAAACTGCGTTTCATCAATGCTTTAAAATAAAATTGTGTAATGAGTTAGGAAGTAACATGAGCATAAAAATCCACTTCCTGCTCTCACATTTTACCGATTTCCACAAAATGTAGGTGATTTTAATGAGAAGCAGGGTGAAAGATTCCATCTGGAACTTCGAAAAATGGACGAGCAGTATCAGGGGCGGTGACACTCGAATTTGCTGGCAGACTTCTGCTGAAGCTTGCAACGTGATCTACCTAAAGTCGTTCATTAAAGAAAATCGTTTAAAAAAGATCATTTGATAGCGTTCAATAGAAATTTTGCTAACATCATTTATTAATTATCTGTACTTTTTATAAAAATAACAAAACCCTATATTTTAAAATCTGCAGCTGTTAGCAATCTTTCAGTATTTTTTTCATACTGAGGGCAATAGATATACCCAATAACAGAAACAAAACATTCGTGGGATTCCATTAAATTTAATATTGAATTAAATTTGTTAAATTGCATATTCATTATTATGATACACGTGTTTTCTTTTACTTGTGTACTAATACTACCTATCATACATACTAAATGTCTACATTCTAGGACTGTAAGAGCTTTCAGACAGTAGAGACATCAGCGAGTAAGTGAATCGAAAATATATATATCGAAAATACCCCGATTTGTCATCACAAATCGGGGTATTTTCGATATCAATAAAATGTAAAGGGTCAAAATATTTTGATTTTGTATCTTTTAACATACAATGTCACATACACATTACACCTAGACCCGACACAGCAATTCATGGATCAGCCACCGCGCCAACTGTGCAGTCAATCTCAGACACTTGTTGTGTGAGAAAACTTGGGACGATGTTAAGTGCTCGGTTCAGGCTCAGACTCGGCCATTGTAGTAGTCCGGTCTTCCTCAACAAGACCCGCGTCCGCGACAGCTCGCTGTGCGAATGCGGCCTTGATGAGGGAACTTTAGAACACATCTTTTTTTCGTGTCTCTTAAATTACCAAACCTTTGACCTCTATAAAAAACTTCCCAGTATCCAAACCCCTCTCCCAATCAGTTTCCACCTCCTTTTAACCCACTTTTCCCACAAATTAATTAATTGTTTATGTAAATGAGAAAATGAGATCAAAATATGACGGTGTTCAATGATGTAAATGATATACATATACTCATATATATCTGTATTGTGTATATCCCCCAACTATTTTTTACACCACTGTATATATACAATAAAATAGTTGATAATGTTTATGTCTACTAACCCAATTGTTTTGTCATTTCAGCTACTAACAACTAAAAACTACCGCAAAATTAAGTTTGACGGTTCATTAATTTTGCCGTCACCACCCGACACTGGCAGTATGGCAGTATAGTCGACAACACCGTCTTGGAGACTCGGTTGCCAAAGAAGAAGAAAAAATAAAAGTGCTCGGTTGGGAGTGGAGTTAGAGCTATTACAAGCTGGCTTTATTGAAATCTGTTATTATTAAACAAAGACAAAACGTGCGGCTCCTAGCCGGTTCAGTATACAATAATAATTACACTCTTAAGCTAGTTCCGCTAGTCGCGGAGAACCTAACGGGTAACCGGGGCTCCGGCTCGACGTGCAGTAGAAGGAACAGGGTGGTTTTAAGTCAGTAAGAGTCTGACACTCCCTTCCGCCTCACCCAGGCGGGAGAAGTCATTCGATGATTTTCCCCCCTTAAAAAAAGCTAGTTCAGCTAATATTACAGATGCGATCAAGTACCATTTACTCACGGAATCACTTAACACCGCAATGGGACCGAAGTGAACTAAGGACAACTGTACATTCCTATCGCAATCGATCTAAGATTTTACAAATAAATCTCTATGCGTGCGTGTACTTGTATGCTGTATGACAGTTACTAGGAATGGGAGAAGATTCAATGTCGTAAGACAATGGAGACAAGGCTCTATAGATTTATGGGAGTACGTATTTACTCCTTTGGCTGAGTCGTCAGCACGACTACCGCGCAAGGGGTCTCCGGTTCGATTTCCGGGTCGGGTAATTTTTATACTGGGTTTTAAAAATCTCAGTAGTAGCACTGAGTCTGGAAATGCGCCTGGTATATGGCAATAGGCTCACCCCCTAGTACATGGGACTCATAGCATAAACATCCCCTTCGGGGATAAAAAGGCGTGATGTTATGTTATGTACATACATTCTACCATTTTGGCATGCAAACATTGATGCAGGTTCACCATCAGGTATATTATGACACAGTTACAATTTATCAGCTAAATAATCAGACACAGAGCTCTTGATAATTTGTTTATCAAGAGCTCTGTGTTATTAGCATTTGTGTATCAAAGTGCAGTAAGAGTGTATTTTTAAAAATTGTCATTCGTTGTTTTTTATTGAAGCAGGAATGTGGTTACAAATAGCCGGCGTCATACCAAAAACACTTTTCCTCTGTAGAGCAGTTTTATATCGACCTGTGCGTAACAAGTTTTGGTATTGAGATCAATGAGATCGTAAAGTTATATCGCGGTGTCTATCCTCTGATAAAGGCACCAATAATTCCTGATTCCAATTAACAAAAAGAGAAATTTCCAAAATGTAAAGGCACGGGAATGTCAACAAATAAATATTTTTGAACATTGGAACACAGTTATCAGTAACCTTTAAACCAAATATTGCTCGTATACACAGTTTCTGAGCTTTAAAAATACTCTCTTTCGGTACAATTCCCCTAATATAGGATTGCAAAACTCAAAATGGAACGACTAGACTGTGATAAGCCAGTAACACTGTTTCGATATGGACTTACTTTTTTAGATTATAAAGTGCATTGGCTGATGTTCTCAGTTTTTTCAAGATTTGATCAGCTTGTGCTGTTCAGTGTCAGCGTCGTGATTGTCGTATTTTATGAGTACTGACTGTACTATCGTCGGCGAATAGTATCATGGGATGGTCGTATTTGACGTGGGAGGTCGTTAATAGAGATAAAAAATAGCAGGGGCCCAAGAACGCTTCCCTGTGGAACACCGAATTTGATTTCCCAATGTATGACGTAATTTTTTTCCCGTTTAGAGCTAGTACTTATTTTGTGGATTACTGTCATCGGTTTCCAATTGGTTAAATGTGTTTTTAGTAGGTGCGGTATACATCCTCGAATGCCGTAGGCGTTTAATTTAATATTGTTATGGTTGACAAAATCAAAAGCTTTCGACATATTTGTGTATACGTATATAGGTAGGTTTAAAAATTGCATTGTACCCTTAACTGACGAGCATGCATGAAAAGATTGATGACTGTTGGTGTTCCTTAGTCTCTGCCTACTCCCATGGGAGACAGGTGTGAGGTTATGTATTATGTATGTAAAAATTGCCATATTTATATTCCTATTTTTCCTGAACCCGTATTGTTCATGACAAAGTATATCATATTTAGCCAGAAATGACAATACTGCTTCGCTTCGTTCTATGACTTTCTATTATTTTAGAAAAAACCAAAATTTGTGGTATTGGTCTAGTCTATGGAATGAAAATGTAACACTAATCAATAAACAAGTAACTACTTTTGGAAAAAGTCATGTTTTTAAATAAAATGAATTTGAAATAAGACAGAAAGAATTATCGTCAAAAAATAGATTATATTATTTTACAGAAATACATTTTGTACAGATTTACCACTAACATCTGACTGTTGTCTTCACAAGGCACTAATGACAGTGATACATGTTTGTGTACTTACATGGCTAATATCTTATTTTATACACCGTAAATCATCAGCGTCAGCGCTGTTGTTGCGCCAGACTCTCGATCTGAGGACGGTCCAGGCGCAAGGCGGCGCGGCCCTCAGTGACGCGCAGGTCACGCGCTCCTAGCCGCGAGTAAAAAGCGAGAGCCTGAGCGTTCTCCTCCAGCACGTGCCAGTCCACACGGTGCACGCCTTCCTGCACCGCCATCTGCAACGAAAGGCACGCACTAAGCGGCCTGCCAACCAGCCAACCAGCTACCAGTCGGGGCAGGCGCAGCACATACCCGGCAGAGCTCGCGCAGCAGACAAATGCCGACGCCGCGGCGCCGCGCCCTCGGTTGCACGTACAGGTCCTCCACGTAGAACGCGCGCCGCGTCCACGAGGAGTAGGCGCGGTTGCACAGGGCGTGCCCCACCACCTCGCCGCCGCACTCCGCTATCAGGCCGAAGAACCATGACGGATTAGCTTCAAACCCGTCCTCGATCAGATCTACAACATTACCAGTTTTGAAATCGTAACTTACGTAAAATTTGGCATCCCAATCTCCCTCGCTCCGTACTATATCCTGCACTAGAGCCGGACGCGAGTGATCGCCGTCGCCGACTACATCTCCGAGGACACGGCGATGCTGAGCCCATGCAATGCACACCGCCACCGAGAGCTCCACCGTGTCCTCCGGGCGATCCTCGCAGTGAAAACACCCGGGAGTTTTCTCCCGCTCAATTCGAAACAGGAGCCTTCCGAAACTTCCGTGTCCAGTATGGACCTGCGTCAGGCGGTAGTTGAAAACGCCGTAGCGTCTCTCAAGCCACTCGTCAAAGAGGAGACTTACCGCTGCAATGACAGCGAGCCCAATTAACTATAAATGTGTTTTACTTTTAAAAAATGTACCTAATAGGATTTCGTTCATACATCACGTATATGAATGTTTAAAAATGTTAGCGTTTTTAGAATTAAACAGGATCTATATCCTGTACAGCATACTATACAGTACGTATAGGTATAGCATACTATACCTATTTGTACTTTATGATTACTGAGACTATATGATATACTGTAAAGTTATTGCATAGTAACGGAGTTTATTGAATAAATAGTGATTAAATTAGTTATTCCAGAAGGTGCCACAAGTGCACTCACCGGCGACGGAGAGCTGCGGCCCATGCGGCATGCCCTCGAACTCCGCCAGCTCCTGCAACACGTTATCAAATCGTGTACTGGTTCGCTACCGCTACTCAGCTGCTGACTAACAAAATGGCGCATGGACCGACACAACATTTTTAGGCATTTGGGAGGTCATTAGTGTTTCTGTTATAAATTATAAAATAATACAAGTTCTGAACAAATTATTAATTAAAGTTTTAATAGATACCGTTTATTAAGCTGCATACAATGTCATTACAGGTTATTCATGTGATCATTAAGTAATACAGTAAGACTGCCTCGTTGGCCGAGTGGTTGCAAGTGCGACTGCCGGGCAAGGAGTCTCGGGTTCGATTCCCGAGTCGGGCAAAGTATTATTGGGTTTTTAAATATTCTCAGTAGTAGCACGGAGTCTGGAAATGTGCCCGGTATATGGCAATAGGCTCACCCCCTATTACATGGGACTCATAACATAAATAGTGAAAAGTGGGTGTTACATTGTACAGTGGTATAATGTGCACCTCTGCCTACCCCTTCGGGGATAAAAGGCGTGATGTTATGTTATGTTTCATTAGGTAATATTTTGTTATGGGTGCGTGGCACAGAATTCTTACCTAGTGGGTCGGTAACCTATCAGGACATGATTGTGTATGTACATAATCAAACATCACGCCATGTAGTTCTCGAAGAATGAACCAAAATGAAAAGAATGAGCCATGTCTTCGAAGATTTCTCGTCTAGTGGTACGTAAGTACGATGCAAATAGTGTCTACTTACATCTCATATGCGACAGTCAATTAATATTTTTTTAATTGTTTTTTTGTTTCACTTTATAAATAATGTATCGGAAGTACTCCTTCCGGCAAGTTGTTTGGCCGCGGGTCGAAAACGAAATCATTTCCACGGTGTATATCTCCGACCTGGGAAACGGTTCCAAAGATTTTCTTGAAATTTTGTATTAAACTGTCAAACACCAAGCGGTCACCGGTGACCGCAACCTATTGTTCTATAATTGTGTCTACAAAACCGGTACTCGACGAGTTAAGGGGTTTCGGAGACGATAAATCTAGATAGGTTCAGAAAATGTCATTTACCTACTAAAAAAAATACCGTGCGAAGCGGTCATCCAGGTAATTTACCTTTATCATTAGCATTTAACTATTGTCTTCATTCACAAGGTACTAATGACAGTAAAATAAAATAGTTATTGTATGATGTAGCTCAATTAATATATTTTTTATTGCTTAGTTGGCAACACTAGGTAAGTACCTAGTAGACAGGTGTTTGTGATTTAGAGCTGGCGTGTTTCCCGCGTGCGCAGAAAAAAACATGGCGAGCAGATTATCGAGAGCGCTGTGCGAGTAGCGAGCAGTGTGGGACACCCACCTGTATCATGTCGAGCACGCGCGGCATGTCGTGGCGCGTGGCGAGCCGCACTACCACGGGCGCCGCGTCCCCGTCCCCGCTGCCGCCGCCGCCGCCGCCGCTCGCTGACGTTGCAGACATGGCGTCCACTCAGCAACGCTGCGTGCCTCACACTGGCTGTCAATGTCACTCTCACAATATCGTCTGCCAACAACAGATAGCTCAAGAAGTCACAATCATATGTCTAATCTATGAGTACTGCCAGATAAACAAAAATTAATAGGTATTAAACTTAGGTTTTAAATGAATGTAGGTGTAAATATTAATTTCAATTTTTTTGGCATCCTTATTTTAATGAACACTAAAAGCACAATACATCGGTGTAAAGTTGGTGAGAATCGCTTATTATGTGTTACTGACTCAAACGAATAATCAAACGAGTAATAGAGACGTTGTTGTGAAGTCGGGAAAGATCGTTTGTTCATATTTTATAATAAAATTCTAACTTTAGTTTCACTCATGACATCTGTGTGTTGAAGTCCGTACTAGGTTAATCCCCAAGCCGCGATATTACTATCATTATTCAAAAGATGGCGTTGCAAGCATTCCTCCACCGTCGAGTATGTAATAATGCCCCACTCCACTTCCAACCAATATTCTAGCGAAAATAAGGTAGTTTAGAGTACGCAGTATGACATAAGCTATTTTTCGTCCTAAAAAATCATGCTTTCAAAGTAACGGGTGAAGACTAAAAATGTGTCAGTAGATTATATATTATTCTTGGGTTTTTGTATAGGATACAGATGGCTAACAAGCAGCCTCATCACCTTGTTGTGAGGAGATAAATCATCGAATGTGTTTCCCCGCCTTGAGTGAGGCGAGCGGGAGTGTCAGAATTCTACTGGCTGGTGAAAACCACCCCACTCCTCCTGCTCCTGGCAGCGATCTGATGACTGGGATGTGGGTCAAGTGCTTGCAATTCACAACTACCAAGAAATGGTACCCGGCTGATTCCCAGGTTGAGAAATGGATCCCAACTGGTGCTTTAATAACATTACTTTCTGTTTCGGAACCGAATTTGTTTTATTACTTTTCAGTTTCTTTAATTTTTCATTGTTATCATAAACCGTCAGTAAGATGAATGATAAACTCTGTACCAACTGCTTTAGATTGGGAAAGGATGTAATGTTTAACAAACCAAATAGTCCAAATAACCTTTGATTCTCTTTACTTTATGTGGCTGTACCTACTGAAAAATAATTACTGTACATGCAAGTTCCATCAAAATTTGGCGCATTTAATGAGTATTCTAAATTGGTACACCATTTTCCACATTATTTCTTAAAAACACACAAAACAATTTTCAGCATCAATTATGTATCTGATTACTATTTATTCTATGTAGTATAACCAACCCAAGCGTATTTTAACAGCTCGTAGCCACTAGACAACGCTCTGCACGCGTCACATCATCAACCTGTTGCTACACGTGTTGAACATCAGCGAGGCTCTATTGTTAATTTCGGTCGCAGCATTCGTCGAAAATATTGTCGCTAGAGGAACAAGTGTCGTGCATCGTGTGCGGCGTGTCACTTAACATTTGATGCTGAACACCATGTTGCATGGAAACAAGAAACATGCTGCAGCATATGATATTAGTGCGTGCAAGTTCAAATTTAAATAAGTACCTACAGATTAGTACGGTACTCTCAATACACGAGTTGACATTATATTGATACAGCCGTAGAATGTATGTACTTTGGAAAAACCTAATTCAAAAACCCAAATTCAGCCAGAACTCATTATTCTACGCGGATGAAGTCGCGAGCAAAAGCTAGCCTATTTTATAATTACACAGAATGTACCAATGTGACTTTTTCCGAGTTATAAATATGTAACTACTTTCGGAAATTGTTTCGACACCACTGACAAACGATGAAGGAAATCATCGTGAGGAAATCTGGACTTATAATTTATAAGTTTGAGCAACGCATTGAACAAGCGTACGTGTGAGAAGAGGCCCTTGGTCAGCAGTGGCCAGTTATAGGCTGTTGCTGCTGCTGATACAGGAAACGTAATTGTAACACAAGATATAGTACGTAACAAAAGTAAGAATAAAATTACCGAAAAGAAAAAAAAGGAGTGCTAAAGTTAAACAAAACAATTTTTAAATTACTTATGTGGTATCTACAAAAAACTACACCCTAGGCTTGTCTTTTGACTCTTGTTTCTACAATTCTTTATTTTTAACCGACTTCCCAAAAAGGAGGAGGTTATCAATTCGGCTGTATGTTGTTTTTTTCTTTTTTGTGTGTATGTTACGCGATTACTCCGGCCTTTGTTGACGGATTTTGATGATTCTTCTTTTGTTGGAACGGTCATACTCTCGGGGTGGTCCCACTTCCACTAGGTCAGGATCTGATGATGGGATCCCATGGAAACCGGGGGGAACTTTTCGAAATTATATGGGTGGCGAGAGCGTTTATTAATTTTTTGATATAATTATTTGAAACTACTACAATTTGATGAAGGTATGATGAGAATTTGTAGCAATGACCCCGTGTTTGGGCTTCAATTATTTGTATTGAGAAGATCTTTACATCTAGATGTAATTGTCAGCCCATAACAATATATAACTTAGGTTAATGATCATGGTTATAATCTGTCATAAAATTGTACACAGATTAGGTAATATAAGGTATTTGTTACGGGTTTAAAGAATAACTTTTGTTAAAACTTGTGGCACCGACTTCTCACCTATCAGTGGGTGGGTAACCTATAAGTACTATCCTTACTAATATTATAAATCGGAAAGTGAGTTTGTTTGTTTGTTTGGTCCGCTTTCACCCCGTAACTACTAAATAGATTGCTTTGAATTTTTGCGGACGTAAAGTTAGAAGTCTGGATTATATAACAGGGTACTTTTTATCCCCGAAAAATGATATTCTCGAGGGAAAACGAAATTATTGGTATAGATGGCGCTGTGTATTGGTATATGTCACATAGACTACTTTTTATCCTTTTGTGAGGCGAGCGAAGCCGCGGGTAAAAGCTAGTGACCAATAATTATTTTTTGCTTTTTAGTTTTTACCTTTTGCTTGTTTTTAGGTTTTGGTTTTCGAAGTCGGTTTTTTTAAACGCAGTTTTTGTTTTTATTTTTATGCTTTTTAGTTCAGTCAGGGCTATACAGACCCAGTATTCTACGTTTAGTTTTGACCTTTTGCTTATTTTTTTCGTCTATACTTTTCCTTACAGTATCCTGAATAGCGCTTCAGTATTATGGAATCATACATTTTAATCGAACTGCTTTAGTTTAGAAAAGAATATAATTTTTTTATGAACCAAGTATTTTCAATAAAATGTAGTAGTAGCAAATTTCACTAAAGTTGGCGCATTATAAGTACAGTACATTTTTTTTTCAGTACAGTCAGTTAAAGTAAGGTGAATAATGACCGACTTCAAAAAAAGGAGGAGGTACTATGTTTGGCTGATTGTTTTTTTTTTGTTCGCCGATTACTCCGCCATTTGTGAACCGATTTGAACTTGGAGATCTCATCACTCTCTAGGTGCTAACATGGTTAACAAAGTACATCAAAGACAATTTACTGTTACAATATAAAATGCAATATAAAATTACAGCGTTGCAGACTAGGTAGGTACACCGTAGGAACGCGCGTCGCGTCGCTTTCAATATAAATTCGACCGCACAGGGCGGCTGCTGCACTGCTGCAGAAGTGACGAGCACGCCGCGGCCGCACAGTCATTAAATTATTGACTCCGTCGAGCGCCGAGGGGGAGGGAGGGGGGCGCTAAGCATTCCAATAACAACCTCAATAGTGCCATATTTAACCTATGAAATGGCCGTTCTGCAGTAATCAAAATAATTTTTGTTTGGATTTGAAATTAATTTAATTTACAAACTTGACTTATTTATTTCAAGCGTGGCCCTTTTTTATAAATTAGTTTAGTTACATTTTCATGGCATTTCAATCTTTTTCATCATCATGCATGTATGTTAAAAATTCGAGTAATTATGGAATATGCGTACGGTGGTGGCAGCAACGCGACACAAGCGGCGCGCAACTCCATCGACGTATACGAAGCTAACACTACAAACTAACGCACTACTTGTTATTGGTTTGCTCGCTTTCGTGAGTTTCAATGGGTGCCCTACGAACTCAATGTTCGCCACTGTGAAGTATGAATCGAGACGTGCCTCTTGATCCGCATTGTTATTTAGGGAACAGAGACTATAGTTCCCTAAGATCGGAAAAGGAGGATCCTCTAACCAGCCAATGACAATTTTTAAAAAGAAACTTACAACAAACACTCTTGTTAGACAAATTTTATTACTCTGTGTCTGATTATTATTTAGGTGATAAATTGTAACTCATAATATGTCTGATGATTAACCAGCATCAATGTTTGCCGCCTAAAGAGGCGGGCGGGAGTCTCACGCGGCGCCCGATGCGTCTGTGGTCGTCGTGGTCGTGCCGCGATCGATCGGAGCGCTTGAAAAGTGCCGTGCTCAGGCGCTGCAGGAAGGCGCTGAAGGATTTTTTTTATAGCGAGAGATTCAGATTCTTACTGACTAAAAACCACCCCGTTCCTTTTCCTGCGCTTCGGGCCGGAGCCCCGATAATCCGTTAGGTTCTTCGCGACTCTGAATCGGCATCAGCACTGTTGGGCCCCATCCGTGGTGGTCTGATGGTCTTTTTGAGGTGCGCGCGGAACGCTACGCGACGTACGCTCGGGTCTGGTTCTGGTCGGACGGTGACCCATCCATGCTCGCCGTCCGCAGACCCGCGCTTACGGTGGCCGGAGATCGTCCCGCGATCCCCGACGCCCGGAGTGTCCTTCGCGATGGCTGGGTTGTAAGGAGGCAGCGCTTCGCTGCCTCACGCTTCCCGCCTCCTCCTTAGCTAGCATGACTGCTTCGCAAAAGGAGGAGACGGCATCCCAATCCCCATCATGACCCGCACTAGGGCCGGACGCGAGAGGTCACCATCGTTGATCACGTCCCTTAGGGCACGGCGGTGCTCAGCCTACGCAGGGCATTCCCCCACTGTGTGTTCCACCGTTTCCTCAGGTCCCTCCCGTGTTTACATGTGCGATGTAGGATTTCGTGTCGTCATCCATTGAATCGTATTTTCGTCTATGTGTGTAAGCTGTCATTTGACGTGTGACATGTGTCGCCACATTGCTCCCTTCCAAAACCGAGGTTGAACCTGTTGAGACGGCTATCGATGCTTGAGACAAGCGGTGTCAGAACCAGTGTCGAATGCCCCTTGTTCCAGTGAGTTGGAACTGTACCGTTGAATGCAAAGTGGGTCAGACTGACAAATGACTAGTAACAGATAGCATCAAAAAATTCGTCCGCATCGACTTCAATAGGGATGTACCCAGACGGGTGACAGCATTGCCACATTGAATGGTAATGCTTAACCTCTGACCGAAATACAAACTAGGCTCTTGGCACCAGATATTCGACGCAGGTTGAGTCCCACACCAAAGAGCTTTCCAACTTCCAGGGCATAATGGACATACCGTCAGGTCTCTTACCATGGTCGCGTGCCAAGCCGTTTGGTTCCAAAACAGCTGGCACTCCGGCGATGACAAGAGCTCGACGCATAATGTGGTTAATGCTAGCATATCGGACTACCAGCAGCGTATTCTGCAGCACGATAGACCGTGGTGACCGAGGTGGTCGACCATCTCACCGTATTGACAGCGATGCGGAGTAACAAGGTGCACCTAGACGGAAACAAGCAACAAGCCGAAAAGTCGAGTTCCAGAATTTGGATAACTTCTTTGCAGGAAATAAATTCAATTCCCAAGACATGCAACACGAAATGCCTTTAAAGAATTTGTTGCCTCCCGCTCAACTGATTTCTTTAAGAAGAGCATCAATAAACTGCCACTGGGTTGGCAGAGATGTATTGAATGCATGGGTGATTACTTCGAGTAATACAAATATAAAAATCATGAAAAAAATTCGTTTAAATTTTTTCATACAAATGGCAATTTTACATACACATAACACCTCACCACCTAACAAGCATTCCTCGTACGGGACTCGAACCCGCTACCCGGCACGGCAGCCAGTTGCCCTGCCACTGCACCAGCCGTACAGTCTCGTCTGGTGTTGCGGGTGTCCCTGGGCAATCAATAGGTGGATTATGTACCACCAAGTTATCAGTGCGGAGCAGCTGTTTTTGGTCTGTTTCATGTTGGTCCTCGTATCCCGTACAAATACTATGTAATAGTTGAAACGTAGAAATAATATGTATTAATAAAACAAGCTTCAAATTATTATGGGCTTACGTGTCACGAAATTGGTATATGCTACAGAAGCGTACAAGGCTTCGTGTGTATTGTCAAAGCTCCTTAATTCAAGAAGACATTCAACAGAACGACAGTAATGTCGAAACTCCAGCTGTCAGAAGCACACTTGGCGATAGGTCCTCAAAGCTCTTGTTGAGCTTTACAATACTCGATGTAGCCACTGCCGTCGGGATGTAGTGGGTGAGGCTGGCGGCACTGGCGGCACTGGCGGCCGGGGTCAGACGTGTCGCGGCGACGTCTTCGTTGCGTAAGCAGGCAGAGGGCGCGGGGCGCGGGCGGGGGCGGGGGCGCGCCGCGGC